GAGTATATTTAAATTAGTGTGAAGAGATGGAAGGATACTATTTTCACCGACAAAAATGGGGTATAGTCGGTCATATATTATATCTTCATCCTCAAGGTACAAAAATGGGGTATAGTCGGTCGTATATTATATCTTCATCCTCAAGGTGCATAGTAAAGGCGAAACAGAGAGAGAGAGGAGAGACAGGAAAGGATTCCTACAATCTTAATGGCAGTTATGAATTTTTTTTACTATTTCTCTCTCTGTCCTGTTGTTTTTGCAACACCCGACTCTTGTTTGTTGCAAGGGAGAAAGAGAGAGGAAAGAGAGGAGAGGCTTTCTTCAATGTTAATGGCAGGTAGTGTTTTAATTCTCGAGAGTCACGACTATCTCTCTCTCTTGAAACCTGCCTTTTACTTCTTGTTTTTACATTTTTTTTCTTTCTTTTAAAGCGGGTTACATACTTTTCTTTTGAGACTCGACTTTTCTTTTAAAGGGGACTTATCTCTATCTTTTTTTCTTCTTTTCTTTTAAAGGGGATAGCACTAGCCGGGTGCCTTGGCATGCGTAAGGCAAAGAGCGACTGCCTAGACACATGACCTCCTACGATGCTTGCCTAGGCACCATTCCCATCGAGATCAATAAGCAAGATCAATGTATCAAAAAGCGCTAAGCGGGTCCTAGGCAGCCTGGGGGGTCCAGGCCGCCCAGCGCCTAGACAGCTGCCTAGGCGGGCGCCCAGAACCTCGGCGACTGCTAGTTGAAATTTGAAAAAAAGTAAAAACCATACCAAATTATTACCAACATAATACCATATAGTTGAAAAAAAAAAAATAGACGTTGAGAAGAGAAATTTGATAATCTATATTGTTAAAACAGTAAACTGTAAAACCATACAAGTGTAGGTAGGATATAAAAGTCAACACTCAACACAACAGAAATTTAGTATATATACAGTATAACAAAAGTCAACACTCATGACTTAACACAACAGTCAACAGACTCAACACTAAACACTCAGCATCAAGAGGCAAGAGTATTCAGTCGTCGTCATCATCAGAAGAATATCAATAGGGCAAGCCTCATCATATGCATCCGAGTCGAGGCCATCATCATCAAAGTCATCTCCCTCTTCAATATAACGCTCGTCCTCCTCTGTTTCTTCTGAATCTGCCTCTTCCTCCTCCTCTTCTTCTAACTTCCTCTTACTAGTTTGTGCAGATGAGGCCCTAAGAGTCTTGGTTGCTCTACTCTTTTCTTTGTGTTTCTCTGAACTCAAATATTGTATAATTTTCTCCTTGGTAGCCTCAAGAACATTTTTACAAAGGGCAACATCCCCCTTAATACTGGCAAGGCATTTTTTAACCGGTAAATGCCCATAATATTATGTCCACAATAATTACATTTAATACAATTTTTATCACTTGGATTCGGGTTATCACGATACTTCCAACTCGGATCACCACTTCGTATAGAACCTAGAGAAAATACTTCCATAGAACAAGGCCTATTTTCATCCTTCTCTGGTTCTTCAAAATTCAGAAGATGTCTAATCTCATCCCGAACTGCTTCAGGAACCTTTGTACAAGAAGCAACATTACCTCTAACACCAGCAAGGTGTTTTTTGAATTGGCTAATACCCCATCGGCATCTTTTTCACAAAAATTACACCTTATATAATTTTCATCATTTGGTTTTGAGTTGTACCCAAACAGGATCATTTTTCTAAGAGTAGCAGAAATAGATCTATGGCAAAGATTTTGTTCTTGTTTTTGTTTTACATAACTTATAAATCGCTTAATCTCCTCTCTAATAGCTTAAGGAACATTTTTACAAGGGGCAACATCCCCTTTAATACCGGCAAAATGTTTCTTAAACTGGTTTATGCCTCCTTTTGTATCTTTTTCACAAAAATTGCATCTAACATAATTTTTATCATTTGGATTCGGGTTGTATCCATATTTCCAACCCGGATCTCCACTCCGACTAACTCCTGAAGAAGAGATCTCAAAATAAAACAAGCAATTTAAAAGTTGCACTTACTTTGGTTGCTCGAACTCCAAACTTTGAGAAACACTTCGATGATTCGATCCAATGAATTGTAGTTTTTTGGAGATTCCTCTCTCTCTAAAAGGGTTTCTTGGGGGTTTAGGTTCAAATGAACTTAAAACCCATCTTTATAAACTTTTATATCTTGAAAAAACGAAAAAAAAAAATTACTTTTCCGCCTTTGAGCAGGGTCATGCCCTGGACGGCTGCCCAGGGCTGAGCGCTGGGCGACCGCCTAGGCGGGTTCCGTACCGCCTAGGCGGCCGCTCAGGGACCACTGCCCAGTTTGGCCACTTAAGCACTGGGCGGTCCGCTTTTTGAACAATGAGTAGGATGAAAGCTTACGACAAGACATTGAGTAAGATTTAACTCTTCTATTTCCACATCCCATTGATTATCCCAAAAATTAAAGCATCAAATCACCCTCTCTCCATTTCTATCCATTCATTCTTTGATTAGGGACTCTTGTCTAAAAGCTAGGATTGCCAAAAATGGGAATCACTTCTGCAAGGCTTTCTCATAACACTAAACATCAACACAAAATCTAACCCTACTCCCATCTCATGCTCCAAATTACATTATTGCAACCCATCCCCCCACTTGCCTCCATGCATTGGAAGTAGTGAAAAAAGATATGGGGAATTATGATCTCACTAAAGGTGTGGCCCTTAATAGAGCAAAATGACGGACCATGATTCGTGTAGCCGACCCCAATTAGTTGGGAAAAGGATCAGATGATGATGATGCATTATTTGACCAAGGCCTCTAGACTAGATGTTAGGTTGACCAACCAAAAGAATTGTAACTGCAAATTTCCCTTTCAACCCAAACTGTAATACAACTTTCCCTTTCAACCCAAAGTCTAATACAATGTTCAAAAAGATGGAGGTAAGCACTTAGGTGGCCACCCCATGATTGAGAGGCCCCAAAAAGAAAAAAGAGATAGAGAAAGGGGGAGGTTGTTAGTACATATCAACATCGTCATCATCTGAGCCTCACCCAATTATTTGGGGCCAGCTACACGAATCCTATTCTGCCATTTCGTTCTAACAAAAGTCATACCCTCAACCAGACCATAAATCACCAAATCTTTTCTCACTACTTCCATCCATATCCTTTGGGGCATTTTCCTTCCCCTTTTAAAGCCTTCCACTTGAACCAAATCACCCATCCTAAATGGTATTCTTATCGACGTTGCACATGATCAGACCACCTAAGTTTAATACATATATGTGCTATAATATACACACACACACATAATACAAAATGAAAGTGGAAAGTAGAGAAAAAGAGAGTAAAGACCCATCATGTACCCCTCTCTCTCTCTCTCCTATATTTAGTACAATATAATAGTACTATATAATAATACATCCAGTACTAGTACTATGTAATGGTACTATATATAGTTGCAGAGAGAAAAGAAGAGAGTAGAGGAATGAGATCAGGCTAAATTAATCGCAATTGTATTAGTTAATTAAGTAAAGGAATGAGATCAATATCAGTCAATTTTGTGAACTTGCCAGAGAAATGATGCTCAGTGAAGTACTATGCTTCAGAATATATAGGCACACACAGACATTATGGAGCTTGGAGTTCACTTCCCAAAATGTCATCCACAAAATAGGAACTCATATGTTCATTTGCAGGAAGAACATCTTACTCTTATTATGTGTAGAGAAATGTGTCTGGCTGTTGCAAGCCTGAGCCTTCATGACTAACTACTACAGAAAGAAAAAAAATGTAATTGAAGAAAAAGAATTAAGTGCACAGTCCAATGCCACTCTAATTTGGGATCCACAATAATGAGTATTACACCACTTTGGAAATGAAGCAATTAGTGTACATATTGATCAATAAATTGGCGCCTTAATATTTACCCGAAAGAAAGAAAAATGGGTGTCTTAATGAATTGCTCAACTAACACTTTCTTTTACCCATGTTCACCAAATGCACAGCAAACAAATTATTGGTTATCCTTATGAATAGCATTCCTTCATGCATTTGTTGCACAATGATGCTTGATTTATGAATTCCAGTTACACATCACAGCACAAACAGTCGTATATTCAATGGAAGACAATTCTATATCCAAATAAATTAGGTTACGGTTCCTTCCACTGCATGATGCCAATCATAATCGAACTTGAGAGTGTGAAAGATAACACTTCTGACTAAAAAAGTGGAATCTCCTAAACCGTCTTCAAGAAGCTTTCAGACACTCAAACAAAGATTATTTTCAAAAAACATACAATTTTTATATCATGAGCATATAATATGCAAGTTCAAGTCAATGGAAGCTTTTTCAACATCATATTGGTATAAGAAAGCCTTGAGCTTGCCAAAAAATGGCCAACAAACACAACTCTAGTTAGGGCTGCCAACAGACTGGGTTTGGGCCAGCCTGGGCTTGTCCGGGTCTGGACACGGCCTAAATATGTAGCTTCAGACTGGGCCCAGCCTGAATAGAACGTATTGAGGCCCCAGCCCAGTCTGAAAAAAATTGGATCAGGCATGGCCAGACTCAAACTGTATCTAAATATAATTTTATATAATATATAAAACTACACATTTAATGATTAAAATATAAAATTGTTTCCAAGCCTTGTCCAGCTGGGATTGGCCCAGCCTGAAATTCTTTTAGGCCCACCATGACCAGCCCACAGGCCTTACGTTGTAGTCCGAACCAGGATGGAAAACAAGCCCGGCCAAAAGCCTGACAGCCAGCCTGGCCATTGGCAGCCCTAACTCCAATTGAAGCATATCACTAAATTCCAATAGACGATCAAGCAAAGAACTGAAATGATAAATCAGTCAGGTCATGTATGAAAGAGAGAAGACATGCAAAATTAAAGATTTCAGGGCTTGTTGATATTTTCAGGGGTTTGTTAATACTCGAAATAGTAAATAGTATTGCAATCCATAAGAGAAAAAATAAAAACAAATGGATTAACCAAAGGACAATGAAATCTTACTGTCGTTTGGCCTCGATGTCTCTGCTGAAATCAATATTAGGTTCACAGTCTAGAACCAAAGCAGGAACCTGAAAATATGAATATAAAAGGTGAATACGTTGATAAACCGGAAGAGAACTTTATTTGTAATGAAATCCAAAAAAGGAAATAATTGTGAAGGACTGGCAACAAATTACCTTTTGAATGCTTGAATGCATGTGATCCCCTTCAAGATAAAACACACGATCTCTTATATCTGCATGCAAGGAGCTGTCCATTTGGTTTGATAACGGACTGACAGACAATACACCATGATTTCCACTTTGAAAAGGGAATAACCAGCTCTCATGCTTTTCATGCAAGTCATGCAGATAATCCAGGGTGACACCACCTTCTTCAGCCCTTTTCCTAAGCTTTAGCCGCTTATGGCAAGTATCTGGGCTAGCCCTAAGATAGATAAATCCATCTGGGATAAGCCCAGGAAGACAGGACACCACAGGATCAAACCATGAATCGTAAATGCTTATCTCCATCTCATTCATCCAGTTTGCTTCATGGACAGCTCGCACAAAAACCTGCACCAAGTCAATCAAATACCACAATAATTCTAGTAAAATACAATGCAAGAACATAAAATAATTAAATATCATCAACACAAACCACCATGGAGAGCATCAGAAAGTAAGAAAATACTAAAATTTATTGTACTGCAGAAATTAGAAAAAGAAGAGCATTGCCATATTTGCTTTGCAAAATCAAGTCAGCAACGCTAACAATAATCAAAACATACCATTCTATCACTGAAAACGCTTCTTTCCATCAGCCGTAGGGGCTTTACTCCGCCTGCAGATTCTCGCTCTTGCATAACCCTTGTAACAAATACATAGTTTTGGAACGTGTAGGCATACCTCTGTGGCTCAGCATAAAAGGCATCAAGGATATTGAAATGGTCAGGCCCAACATCCTGCCACTTTGAAATAGGTTCAGGAACCACTTCCACTAGGTCACGTAATTCAAGCGTTTCATTAGCTATCCTTTGAAGGAACGTGGTTTTCCCGACGCTAATATTTCCCTCAACACAGAAAGTGAGCCGCTTTTTCTCTGCAAGTTTCTTGCCAGACTCAGGGCTTTCCTCTTTTAACTCTTCATCCACGCGTTCTTTGATAAAAGAAGTTATACTCTCTGCATGGTGTCTGTGAATGATCCCTATAGAACTCTGTAAGAACTCAACCATTTTTTGACTAGATTCTCCAAAAAACTGTAACAGGAGACATAGTGAAGCCTTTGCTTAGAAACAACCCTTGTACAGCTAAGAAAAAAAGTACAAACATTAGAAACACAAGACATACAAAAATCAAGAATTTTTTAAATAAATATATTCTCCGCATTGATAATGTAAGCTTGTAAGATTGACTTTGAGGTCTAAAGGCATAAAATATGTGGGCATCTGGTACAAATTTAGAAACAGGAAATAGGTAGCATTTCAGCTATGCTGCAAAAATATGATGGTCTATGAGAGTGTATAGAAACCAAATCTCATATACTTGGAGCGCAACTATGTCAAAACTCAAGACAATACAACTTGAATTTTACACAGTACACTTGAAACTCAACTTACAAAATGATATTATAGCAAGGTCATTGTGTGGTACCGACCAAGTACAGCACTTGTTAGGAGGTGCGAGTTAGTTCAAGTAGAAGGACTGAAAAAGGGTAAGGAGTAGTCCCAAAAGGATGTCATCAGAAGTAGTCTGAAAAGATATGGAGACTTATGGCCTCACTGAGGATATGGCCTCTAATAGAGCATAATAGAGAATGTAGCCAACCTCAATTAATTGGGAAAAAGGCTAAAATGACGATGATGATGACGATCAAAGCAAGTAGAAAACTCGTGGGAAAAATCTTGGCTCTTAAAACACAACCGGTTCAATTGAGTTTACAAATCGAGCCACATAAATTCGGGTACGAACTCCTCTCGTGAAAACAACAATTTGAGGCATCAAAATGAAGATCTAATCGACTGACTTTATGAAAATTTTAGAAAAATACCAGTAAAAAATGCTCAAAACAACATTGGGAAAGCTCATGGAAACTATATCAATTTGTGCATGGATGATGCCTTTAACTATATGGATCAAGAGGGATTAAAGTAAAATCAAGAGAGCAATGATCTAACATCAAAAGGATGAAGATAGCTTGCTGTAATTGAGAATTTACAGCAAGAAGAATCAACTAGAATCAAAGAAAATGGAAGAGATCTTACTCAATTGATGATGCCTCAAGACTAGATCATCCATGACTTGAATTTGAGCTTTGGATCACCATTAATGGAGCCATGAAGGAGCTTCAATAAAGCTTTCTCTCACATCACCTTGAATGCAATTTTCTAGAGAGAGAAAGGAAGAGATGGCCCGTGGGCATGCCACTCTAAGATAGATGAGAGAGAGAGAGTAGCATGCCACTCAGAGAGATAGAGAGAGAGAAGAGTGAACTCATGTGTAGAATGAAAGCTCAAGGGGGCATTTATAGGCTTCAAGCCATTAAAGTGTATAGATGCTTCTAAATTGATGAATCTTGGCCTTCCATGTCATCATCCAATGGCCACAAAGAGAGGCTTGATCCTAGCCCACCATCCACCATCATGCCATCAAGATGTGTGGTATGGATTTGAACACCTTTATCCTCCTTTAATTCACTCCAATTTTCCTTATTATTAAAATACCCATGCTCTTTACATTTAATTAAACTAAAAACCAAGTTGGAGGGGCGTACTTTCGTAATAATTTGACAAAATTCCAACAAACAGCAAAACTCAACAGTTTCCTCCATTTTATAAGAGCATGTGGAGCTAATGAAATCATGTCACATAAGCTAGGTTGTCAATTGCATGTTAACCATATACCCTTATGGTTAGGTTTGTAATTACAAACCCTATGCCCCTTCTAGAAGCCTTCACACATGTGCACAAACCCCTAGCTTTTTGAATTAAACATGCACTCGAACAATTTTCTAAAATAACATTATTCCAAAAAATACCAAATTACAATGCCCCTCATTAAATTCGACGATATACAAAAGGACATGGGGTCCCCATGGGGGGTTGACATCACCCTAACACCATCCTCAATGTGGGGTAGCATGGGACCCCCTAGGCCTCCATGCGGACACCCATTGGCCATTTGGATATCCCGTGTGGCTCCTAGAGGACTGTCCTTAATTGTCATTTCTTGTAAACAATTTCAAAAAATGTAATTTCTTGTTCAAAAAAAATTTGCAAAAGATTCACAAAATATTCACAAACCAGGTAATGTTCACAAAATATTTTGAGTTTTTAACTACAAACATGTAGAAATGTTACAAAAGAAAAAATGTATGAAAGAATATCAAATAACAACACATTATACCCCCAAAAAAAACACCAAACCCTAAATCAAATATTGTAGTGCACTAACCTTTTCAAAATGAAACCAATACAGGCCCGAAGCAATGATGTTTGGTCACCAAAAGTCCTCTTATGCGACCACTCCAAGCTCCAAAAAGTACCAGGAAGTGTATCTTTTGATCTCGCAAGAGATAACAAATGCTTCCTAAAGCAATGATCTTTGGTCACCAAAAGCCCTCTTAGGTGATCACTCCAAGCTCCAAACAGTATCAAGAAGTGTATATTTTGATTTCGCAAGAGATAAAAAAATGTTGAAATTTTTTTCAATCTTGAGAAAAATCTCAAAATATAAGCTTTTGGAGAGTTTTTCTTTATCTAAAATACACAAAAGGGGCTTTGGGGGAGAGATCTCCTCGAACCCGTTTCCCCCTTTTTCAGGGGGGAGAGATACCCAAAATACCCCTAGCCGAGGGCCTATTTCTGCCCTCGACCAGCGTGTATCGAGGTGACGTCTAGATGCACGACGCCTACAAAGCCCACCTAGGTGGCACCTAGACATTTTGACATTCCTGCCGCCTGGGGAGCAGAATATTTAAACATTGGCAATTAGGTGTCCTCAAATTGTGGCCCTTCCCATCCAAGAGTGTTGCTACAATGGGATAATAGGTAGGTAACGTGGCAGGTTCATATGTCCAAGTGGGATGCAGGTGGGGGTACCTAACCTACAGGTACATGAAGGCTTAATGGCCAGGGTAAGGTGGCTCAAGGACAGCCATCAAATCAAGTGGGGCTAGAATGGACAAAAGCTCAATGCCAGATGAGCAAACTTTCACAAGGTTTGAAGTCAAATTCAAACATGATTTGAATTCATACTTATATGAGTTAGAGTCCCACCCGCTAATGGTGTGTTTACATGGCTGCCGAATGCCACATATTAGCAGTAGATGGTTTGTCATTAAGTTTTGACTGAGGTCCATCTCATCCCCCACGTTGTTATTGACTCCCCTTTCTTCTCCAGTGAGAATTCTAGCAATTGTTCCATTTTCTCACAGTGTTTTTCTGCTGGTTACGAGAATCCAATCCAGCCATCACCATGTGAATATTCTATTATAACCGTGTGAATATATATTTACAGTTAACATCATAGAGTGCCCAAAAGCTAAAAAAAGGCCCAAACGACTCCAAGCCAACAACAAGTTTGAGTTAAAAAATCCATTTTCAAAATCAATATAATAAAAATCCTATAAGAACTCATAACATTTTCTTATATCTGCTGAAAAGGCTAATATAAGGAAATCATATATGCAAATTTGACATGAAAGTCTTGTAGGGAAACAAGGCAATGCACCACTTGTTCATTTAATAACTGATGCAACAAAATATTGCAGAAGAAATCACATAGTCCTTCCATGTATACCAGGACCCACATCAATCATTAAATGCTTCTCTGGTAGGAGCTTTAACTAGCATTTAAATGCTTTTCCACTGGGAACTTTAAACCTTAAAATGCATCATTTTATGATGTCAGCCTGATAAAACATTATGATTCAAACTAACTACATTTTTGTTGAGAATATGAGATAGAGAAATATTTCTCTTGAGAAGATTCAGTGAACTAATGATGGTCCAATGGGAGACCCTGTAAAAGAACTGCCATTCGTATCAAATACTATATGAATACATCCTATGTTGTATTTCAACTCCCTACTCCCCTAAGAAGGCCATTCGGAACTATAAACCCCCAAAAAGCTCATTGGAAGACCTTGTTCTTACCCCCTAAACAGGAAAAATGATACAAAAAATCAGATACCAATTTCCCATCCCTATCTTCAAAAGACGAGAGAGCAGAAGCCTCACAAATAAGCAGTTAGGCAATAAAAGTCACAACTTTTGTATGTAAATAGAAGTATTTAACACTATTTGAGCTGGGGAAAGGGGTAAAAGAGGGAGGATGCAGCCATGAACTCAAATCTACCTCTTCTGTTCCCCTATTACCAAGTTATAAGACACATAAAGGCCCCAAGTTAAGCTTGAAAGGTTACACAAGTTAAAGAGTGCAGAGAGAGTTAAAGGAGTTGGTTGTTCACCTTGTCTCTGTAAAGCTGCTTGAGCTCCGAAACCTTTTCAATGCCCTTATCTACAAACTTCTGCATGTTGCGAGGCCCAACTCCTGGTATGCTGAGAAGGTCAGGGCTGCTGCTGCCGCTGCCACTGCCCTGAGGCCCTACCCCCCTCTGTCTCCTCTGCAACCGCTGCTGTCTCCCCTGAAAATCGCTGCCTGGTAACCTCCTGCTCTCCTCATCATCGTCATCAGAATCAGCAGCAGCACCTTCCACTTTCTTCCCTCTCTCTTCCCCTTCGTCATGAAACCAAGCAGAGCGCACTTCAGCCCAAGGCTTATACTTCGGCTTAGGAGCAGACGAGCAGCACACACGGAAGCTGAAGCCCCTGGCAGCCAATGCCCGTGCCAAGGAAGCACAGCCAAACCGATGGAGAAGGGACCTCTCCGAAGAACCCATAAAAGAAGAGTTGCACCATGAGGGGTTTGGCGGTGCTCTAGCGCGAGCTAGCGGCATGGCCAAGGGCGGCAAGCAAAAGTTGGGAGATAAGGCCACCGCCGCAGCCCAACTTTTGCCAACAGCTGATGCTGGTCCAGTGGGGGAACAAGTCAAGAGCTTTTGCATCTCACTGAAGCGGTAGCATCTCTCTTACCTCTCTCCAACTCCCATCTTCCTTTCCTTCTCACCCACTGCAAAGAAGATAACAGGGTGGGTAACCCTAATTGCCAGACCAGTTTTCTTGCCTATTAAAAGTATACTGCAACTCTCTCTCTCTCTCCAAAACCTCAGAGAAGCAGGTAGAATACAAAGAGCAGGGCAGAAGAGGAAGGAGAGGGGAGTTTTGTAGGGTTTAATGCAGAGAGCATAACAGGAAGGAGAAGGGAGTTTTGTAGGGTTTAATGCAGAGAGCATAAGAGGAAGGAGAGGGGAGTTTTGTAGGGTTTAATGAATGGATTTGGGTTGAAAGAGTAAAAAACGAAGAGTGGGTTGGAGAGGGATGTAATTTTGACCCTTGGTAAAAAGTTAAATACGTCGGCGAGCACATTCCCCGGGAATAAAAAAGGCCGTATTTATTTATTTTACTTTTAAGTGGTTCCCGCCCAAACCAGCAAAATTGGTCATGGAATGGGAAGCCCCTCGTGCCCGTTTGGTTCTCCGGAAATGGGGGTCCTGATGAGATGTCTCTCCTTCTCTTGGAGGTATCTGTTGTTTGGAAGAGACCCAGTAGATGCATGCTCGTCTACCATTTCGATTGCCAAGAAGACCTGCCTCTTCGAAATAGTATACGTTATTATATTGTATAATTATAATAAAATATTTTAACGCTATATTCCAATATTATAATCTAATATTATATTATATATCATAATATTACATATATTAATTATATATATATATATATACATATTACAATATGCAAATTACTTATATATATTATTTATTATATATAACTACTATAATTATTACATTTTTTTGAGGAAAAATTGTCATAAATTTTCACTATTGCATATAATTATTATGTTAAATACATTTTTTACAACATATATTAATTATATATTATATTTTTATATATAAATGATTATATATTAATTATTAGAATTATTTTGAGTTCTTTTTTTAGGCGGACCTCAACCACTCTATAAAATATAACTTATGCAATTTTTTAGGGCATGTGGCTCTCTTTCATTCAATCTCCTAAAATTGTTAATTTCACTTATTTTGGTAGAATTAGTATTTTCACAAAAAAGATTTAAAATGTGGAAATCGATCTCCAAGCAAAAATGTTATTCCCGCCCTGGAAGGGTATCCAAACGACATTTACAAACCATTTCCATATAACTGGGTTTCCCATAAACCAAATAAGCTTTGAGAATCGAATCATCATTAGGCGCACTTGGTTTCTCATCATTTATCACATACAACAATTCCACGTTGTGAAGTTAAAAAAAATAGTTTATTTTTCTATAAATAGAAAGTTTCTCGATATTTACCACTTTCAAAGTATGCGCTTGTAGTTGCCTCTTAACTTGAGCTCTTATTCCAAATGTTGGATGGATTTAAAAAAGGGTTACTAATATGGACTAATTGAAATAAGATTTTGATCAATATCTCTCTTTAAACACTACTTGAAAATATGATCAAATATTTCACTTGTATACAATCCAATCGCATAAAAATCATAAACATATACATAAAATTAAGGGCCGACTAAAACTACAAGATCAATGCCCAATCTATCACCTTCTACTCATATTTTACCCTAATCATAAATCATAACAAAAATGAGTAAATATGATGTATGGAACAAACTCATCAAGATTGTCCAACTAGGGCTTATAAAGATTGGAAAAACCACACATTTAGAGCTTAAAAACCACACCTACTAGATTTTATTGAACATACAAATGTAGAGGAAAAAAAGTGATTAAGAGATTATGAGAACATGATGGCTTCATAATGGAGGGCAAAGCTATTCTTATTTATACTATTTATTTAATTTTTAAAAATTTATCTTTTTATTTTATTCATGGTCTATTTTTAAGATCCTAAGTTCATTTTAGTATTTTTTTTATAGTTTTTAGGATTTGAAGAGATGTGTAGAAAAATGATTAGAATACTTATGAAATTATTTATTTTATCAGGTTTAAAAGTATCATCATGAGTTTTATTTTAAATGAAGGGATTTATAGGGCATTTTTTTAATATTTTAACTTAAGTGGGATATTTTTCATCCTTTTCTATTATAATATAGTAAAATAGCATGGAGTATTAGTGTTTCTAACACGTTTGGGACATAAAATAGCAAAAATAGATTTTGAATAGTACTAGCAAGCCCTATTTTGTTAAATATATTTTGTATAAGGAAAGCCAGATCCACAAAAAACTGACATGTTTTGATTGTTATTGAATTATTTTTGCCATTTTTTCTTTATCTTAATGCATCAAGTTGGTATCAGAGCCTATGTTTTCTTCAACAACAAAACTAGGAATTTAAAACAAACCTAGGGTTTGTTGATTTTACGCAAATTTTTGCCAAATCAACCTATAACTTGCTGGATTCATCTAGGTTTGTTGGTTCTCTACATAAGGGTTGTGAATTTAGTGAAACTACGACAACAAGAAGAGGTCGAGACAAGGGCACTCATATGGATCTACCTCATGATGAGCAGGATTAGGAGATGGAGTATTTGAGACAACAAGTTAAAAAACATACAAAGCTGCTTACAGGCGACGAGATGAAGATTTGTCCATCGATGATGATGTTGAGTACAACCCTTTTCACTATCGTGCTCAACGGGACGAGTCGAGTGATAAGGAATATGATTAGAGGTAAGGGTGGAACTTAAAATCTATAGATCTAAAAGTAGATATTCCTGATTTTGAAGGAAAGTGACATCGCAAGGATTTTATAGATTGATTAAATACAGTAGAGGGGGTCTTTGATTAGAAGGATGTGCTAGAGAATAAAACAAAAGAAGATTATTGTGATTAAGTTGAAGAAAGGTGTTTCGGTATGGTGGGAACAGTTGCGAGCAAGGTGAGAGATAATGGAAAAGCCCAAAACAAACACTTTGGAGAAGTTGAAAAAGAAATTAAAGGAATAGTACGTAACTGAAAATTATTTATAGTCTTTATATCAAAAGATGCATCTGTTGCGCCAAAGAGATAGGTCGGTCTTTATATCAAAAGATGCATGTGTTGCGCCAAACAGATAGGTCGGTCTTAATATCAAAAGATGCATGTGTTTCGCCAAAGAGATAGGTCGGTGGATGAATACCTAAGGGCCAGTTTGGATGTCAAATAAAAAAACCTCCACATTGAAAAAAAGCATAAGTTTCTTCAACCTTAATTAAAAAAATCATAAGTTATTTCATTCTAAAAGCAAAGTAGCATTTTATCCTTCTAAAATTCTCTTGCCAATCCAAAAGATTTTCCTAGATCTCTCGCAGCAGTAAACAATTTGCTTCCATACTCCATACAATAAGCAAACCTGCAACCCGACCTTCTCCTTATTCATGAAGAGAAGGGACTTCCTATGAATAAGAGAAAATGCTCCTCTTTTGTAGAGGGAAAAGGCATTGGCCTTACAAAAATGCTGCCTAGGGCTGCCATGGATGGGTTTATCTAGTTTTTTGCAACCCGAACTTCTCCTTATTCATGATGAGAAGGGACTTCCATGAGTGTGGTATGAGATAAAAGACTTGCCTTTTGTACATAGAGAAATGAGCTTGGCTTTACGAAGACACCGCCTAGGGCTGCCATGGTTGGGGCTTGAGCTCTCTCTCTCTGTAGTACTTTCTTTCTCATCAAAGATGCCAAACTCTCTCTCTTTGTTCTATGCTCTTTCTTTCTCTCTCATCAAAGACGCCAAACACACTCTCTCGTGCTCTTTCTTTCTCTCTCATCAAAGATGTGAAGAGCGACTCGCGCAACCTCTGACCCCAAAAGATGAAAGCCTCTCTTTTCGTCTTCTGGTATTTTCTGTTCTCGGACCTTGTTCATGCCAGAAAGCATCATGTTTTTCCCCCCTTTTGGCTCCTGGTCTGCCCCCTCAAATACCCAACATGTCCCCATTTTCTTCTGCTCCTGAATTCAAGGTAGTTGTTCCATTTGATAACCATGAATCCTCTCTCTCTACCCTTTATATCTATGTGTCACTTCCATTCGGCATCCGTCTGTTTCTCTCACTGTTACTTTGTATCTTGTCTCTCTAATGTCAATATGTTTCTCTTTCCCTATGGTGTTCTTGATTGTTTACAGTGAATTTTCTGAGGTTTTAATAGAGCCATTCTTTTTTAAACCCGGCTTGCAGACCGATGGGGACCAACACCATTTCTATCTAGGGAGAAAATGAGTTTTATTTACTACAAGAGAGATGTGACATTTTGTGGAGACAGAGCTGCACGTTTATAAGAAAAAATTGAAGTCCCTTAAAAATTTTTTTACGTTAATTTTGGCTTGATACGACATATTTTTTATTTCAAACTAAAAATCTAACAAAATCTTAAGGATGTCTAAACGGTTCAAATCTGTTTCACTAGATTTTTGAATTGCAATCAAACGAATCCTGTTTCACCATATTTTTGAACTACAACCTAAACATATTGCAATTTTGGGTACATCCAAATTGGCACTAAGTTAGTTTCACCTTTTGACTGCCTGTATTGATGTGATCGAGTGAGTAGAAGGAGCAATCCATTGTCATTATCTCTCTAAAAACCCAATCTCTTTCTCTAAAATCTATTTTCTCACTTTAGAAACCCAATCACTCTTTCTCTAGAAAAACACATTCTCTCTTTAGAAATCCAATCTGTTTTGCTCTCTCCAAAAACCCATTCTCTCTCTAAAAACCCAATATCTCTTTCTCTATCTAAAAACCCAGGTTCTCTCTAAAACCCATTCTCTCTTTAGAAACCCAATCTCTCTTTTTTTCTGAAAAAAACAGTCTCTCTAGATTTGAGCCATACTAGAATTTTTATAGGTCCATAATATTTATACTATTTTTTTAAAGTCAGATTTGAAAATTTTTTTATAAGTCAAAAAACTGGTTTCTGATCTAGATCGGGTCACCCACTGTATTAGCTGTTGGATTTGGGGCTTCTTGACATCTGGACTGAGATAAATCATAAACAACTAAACCCGTGCTTTAACCTTTAAGACACCGTTTCTCTCTCCTATCCTAATGGCAAACTACGTGGGCCAAGAGAGAAACACAAGAAAAAGGAGGAAGGGCTCGAAGCTTAGTAACACAAAGAGCTAACCCATTAGAAAGAAGAAAAAAAAAGAAGGTTGAGAGAGAATAAGGGAGAGATGAGAACCGAAGAAGTGAGTGATCGTGGATTTGGGAATGAAGCGCTTGGAGGTTTGACTAAAACAAGATTACGTGCTCCTCTATAATGCCTGGATTTAATGTCCCTTCCTCCTCGTTGGATTTAATGCCCTTAGGGCATGTTTGGTTAGCAGGAAAATAATTTTTTAGAAATAATTTTTTCAGAAAATAACTAGTTTCTCATGTTTCGTTTGTAATAAGATTCAGAAATGTTTTTACCTCTGAAATTAATTTCTATAAGAGGCATCCAAATCTAAGAAATTGGAATCATACCTAATATATACGCTTCTAGTTTCTTTCAAAATAATTGGGGTGAGGATGTAAGTAGGGCTGCCACCAAGCCACCCGGAGGTCCGGTAAGCCCAATGGCAGCCCCAAAAATACTTTGGGTTGGCCACGAGCCACTAAGAAGCCCTTCTTTTTTTTCTTTATCTCACTCCTCAAATTCTTTATCTCACTCCTCAAACTTTATTTGTTTGTTGTAAGCAAAAAAAAAACATACACTAAAATATGTTTTAGAAAATTTAAAAAAATATTGGGTTTCTTGAGAGGGAGAGATTGGGTTTTTAAAGAGAGATTGGATTTCTAGAGAGAATGATTTTTTAGATAAAGAAAGAGATATTGTATTTTTAAAGAGATAAAATAGCTTAGGTTTATAGGGAGAAAGAGTGATTGGATTTTTTAGAGAGAGAGCGAATGTGCAGCTCTCTAGAGAGAATGTTTTTACCAGGGAGAAAGAGAGATTGGGGGTCGAAAAACTTGAATGTTTATACCATTTTTAAGTCAGCCAAAATTAAGTGTTCATAGGTCCTTAATATTTATACCATTTTTTTAATTTCAAATTTTATTATCTGTGTCAAACAACCATTTAGATCCATCATGAAGAGCCATAATATTTATACCATTTTTTTAATTTCAAAATTTATTATCGGTGTCGAAAAACTGTTTAGATCCATCATGAAGATTTCTGTCACCAAAAGTGCTTTGCAAATGACGATTTGAACGTTGTACCCATCCATTATTTCTCTAACCATAAAGGCAGTTTTCAATCCTAGAACAAGAAGTATTCCAAATGGGTAAATCTAATATTGATCCCACAAAACAAAACATTGTTATTTTTTTTGAACGTTAATTCCATTTTCACTGAGATTCCCCAGCCCCCATCGTGGTGTGGCTCATGCATACGGATGCGATATCTTTATTTATTTTGTGATCGCTGCATTTGTCGATATCACTTTATAAATAATAAAAGAAAAAGACAAAACGTTGTTATTTTTTTTGGGCGTTATTCACAAAATTGTTCCATTTTCAGTTAGAATCTCCAACCCTCTGTTGCATTTTCATTTTGGATTATGAAAGCTACAGTTCTAGGCTACTTCATCATATGGAAATGGAGTGAGCAAAGGAAATAAAATGGTTTTATTTGGAATAAATGTATACAATAAGATCATTTGCTTTTGATATAAGGAAGTCACAGTCATCATTGAACACTAGATTCAAAATTGATTGAGAATGTGTCATTGTTTGAGCACAAAATCCAAATAAATTTTCTTAAATATTATGACACAATTTCGTCTATTGAATTTCACATCCAATTGCTAAAAGTGATTATGATATCTTTGTACAAAAAATAAATGGTCTCATAGTAAACAATTCCTTATTAGAAAGGCTTGTAACCATACATATGTTCAACAAATGTCCTAAAAAACGAAATTACATAGGAAGATACAAATATCCATCCTAAGCCTAGTAGGAAAGCAAAGATGAGTCTGAGAGTGCTACATTCCATGGGCATACCATGAATTTAAAGTGACGAAGGCAAGCGGTCCAGAGTTACATAGCCAGCAAGCACTGCCTTATTCCTTTCTTTTACTCTTGTTTGATACAATACCCTGACAAACAAACAGTGTTAAGTTTTCCATCTAGAGGAAGCACTAGTACACAGCTCGTGCCATGCATATGCAAGCAAGGAGGGAGGGAGAGAGAGAGAGAGAGAGAGAGAGAGGAGAGAGAGAGGATCTCATATTCTTTTTCTGATTGGATTCGAGAGAGAGCAACAAATAACATATGCAAGTGATAAAGGTTTACTTGAGCAAGTGTTCATCAGGAAAAGATAAAACTTGATAAAACCCCAAAATTAAAGCAGGTGCGAAGAGATGTCATATATTATGGACAGAGAGAATCAAAGGAATAGGAAAGGATACATTTTGTAACTATCAAGTCAGATTGGTTTCACATAGCATTTGAGATAGATAATCAAGGGTTACACAAAGTGATAGGGATTTATCATAGAGAATCAAGGGCTACGATAGCTAGCCTTGTGCGACTGATAAGCACACATTTTATGACGACAGAATAGGGAAAGGGGCTGGGGTCGCGGTGGTAACACCCCTACACCCTAGTCACCACGTATGGTTTACATTCCAACTGACACCAGCCTACTAACACCTTCAAAAAACTAGCTCCTAAACCATTTGAAAACACAGGTATGGGCCTGTCTTCCCCACTGAATTACCTAAAAAACACAACAACATATGGTAGTAGAGATAATATATGCCAAAACAATGAAGTTGAATAGTGGTCTACCTTGATCCTTGGAGCCACATTTCTGTGACTAAGACTTCCCCAGGGTAAACATGTAGTAGGAAACGACCAGATAAGCTTTTCACTCTAGCTGGTTCATCATTACAACAATGCCTGATAATTGCCCGAACTGCAAATCCAAGTGTGCACAATCCATGCAATATTGGGCGAGAAAACCTTCAGGGAGAAAAGCAAGCACAGATTATTTAGACATTATTACCCTTTTACTAAAATGGAGGAAAAGGTGAACAATTTGCAACCATAATAGAACTCAGATAAAATAACAAATTTAAACATATCGTGGCACCACTTTCAGTTATTATGAGATCGTTTTACAACGAGATTTACAGGAAATTGCTAACTTTTTACTAGTGAATATGGACTCGTGGCCAAATGCATTATTGACGAACATAATAGCATCAAATTACTGTGGTTGGTGTAGTAAGTTTTTGCACGCACTCTTTAAAAGGGTGACAATCATCCATGATTTGGAGCACTTTCCTAATATTTCAAAACCATCTAGAAGGCTTGCTTCACAAGCCACTCATTAAGGAAAGGAAGAGGTGGGGTGTCCCACCATGTGTGGCCTATGCGGGCCCACACCCCCACTAAGTGGGCTCCCATGTGGTGGGCCCGAGGCTCTAATGGGCCCCCACACCCTCAAATAAATTTTAGATTAATAAAACTGATTTTTAGAAACCAATAAATATTTTTTTCTTTCTAAAATAAAAAAATCCAGAAAATTGATTTTAGCTTATCTAAAAAATATTTTTTTACTAAAATAACATATCTTGAGAAATCTAAAAATCCATTTTAATAAAAGAAAATATAATTAAACATATTAAAAAATATTTGATGGGAATTGGATCCAAATAGTCAGAAATATCACAAATACACTAAGGACTCCATCCCTTCTAGAAACTGCATCTCACTGTCATTGTTTCAAACTGACCCAACAGCTCCCAGACCCACAACTAATCGCAGGGATTCATGCTTGGACTATCAAAGTTAGACAATAAATGAAGGAGACATGCTCCTCGCTAATGCATTGTAGGTCTCTCTTGGAGGAAAGGTCCACGCCCCATTCTAGCACAATACCTTATGGGTCATTTCAACACAGTCCAATGTTCTAGGGAGACAGCTTTTCAACACAAGTATACGACACACCCTTACCTAAAGGGCTGCTTCCCAGACGGTTATCTAGTGTACATGTCGTGCGATGGTAATATGAGGATTTGGCCTTTGTCCTCTCTGGCTAACCACCGCACACAGGGGTCACACCTAGTCCCCTGGCCAACCACCCTAAGTACAACTCAGACCTCATCAAGGGATGACCCCACATCGAAACCCTTATCGGTTGTGCACAAATGCTCAGGGCTACAAGTTTTTAGACATCAACCTGAGCCATAGCCTGTCAAAACTCAGGTGAGTCACAACATCAGTGATGCCTCACAAATCACAATTCACCCTAGATCATGCCACACAGTCCATCCAAACCACGCTCCCACTGGAGCTATCGTATCACTATAGTCATAATTTTACATGCTATCATTAGGCCTTTAAATGGCTACATAACCCCAACAATTTCATCGGTAGTGAACAAAGTTCTTTTCATTGAAAACATAGTCTCCTTTACTAATCTTGCACTTGTTCAAATTTGATCTACATGGCTGTGGTTTTGTTTACATTTCTTATTTTTTCCATTATTTTTATATCTTTAATTGAACACCTCATCTAGAGACATCAAATAGTTGAAGCCATAGATGCAGGGAGATTGGTTGGAGATGGTGATTCCCACTCAAAATCTCTCTCCAGCGATCCCTGAGCTAGAGGTCGACCTGAAAGCTTGCTCTCCCCCATCAAGGGATCTCGATCCCTATCTTATGGGGATCTCAATCCCTGACCAAGAGGGATCTAGATCCCTGTGGAACATGATCACAACCCCACTCAAAATGGTGTTGCGGCCTTAGTTTGAAGGGATATTGATCCTAGGAGAAATTTCAAAATATTTTGATTATGAACCCGTCGTCTTTGGTTTTGCACTGATTTCTTTCTTTCTGACAATTTGCTAGCTAATGACCACTTGCAAATGATTTTTGTTTTTCCATAGTCATGGTTTGCATAAGTGGTTGAAAACTGGCAAGCTGAATAGGAACAGCCTGAGTAAGCTCAGAATCAGGGAGTTTGTCGGTCCAGAATGGTCCTAGAGAAGGGCAGTTCACTCTAGTCATTTGTAGTGAGACATCCAGTTCAATATAGGCTGGATCTTATAGTGGTCCTACAATTTCATCTTCTCCAATTTTTATGGAACTTTAGGGCTATAAAGTTCTCATTGTGCATGTGTATAGATAATGCTAATAAAGTGGATTACATTTAATTTCTTAAAATATCAATTTAAAATTAAAAATAATGCACACATATATACTAAATAAAGGGTTCTCCCCAAGTGCTCCCATATAAATATAGTAAATATATTAGGCTGCTTCCACACCTCTCCTTAAACAACACTTCCTAGGTAGGGAGCTTCAACCATGGTTCACCCAAGGCTACACCTGATCCTGTTCCTCCACCTGCTTCTACTCTCGCTCCCAGAAACTATGCTTGGAGCACTTATCTTCTGCACCGTAACTTCAGTGGGCTATCCCTGATAACATTAGTTTCCCCATGGACTTTGTTCTAGTGGCAGATAGCAGGTGTTGTATGTTAAAGGTCAAGGGTGGGCATGTGCTAAGTGATAACTATATATATGATGCAAAAGTATACCAGTTTGATATCACCCTTAAATTAGAACTAGCAAAACCAATATCTCCTTTGACCGTGAAGTTTGTTCCAAAAATAAACCAAGATGGCCTAACCTTTCTTAGGGATTCAAGTACCTAGGCTTGGTAGTTATGCTGTTCACAATAGTAGCACATCTCTGGATCACCATGACCCCACCAAAAAGAGAAAAAGAAATGTAGGATTAATTCATAAATATTACATCCTTTTCTGGTTAAATTTCAACACTTTTAACTAGCTATGCACATTGAGCTCTTATACCATATATGTGTACAGCTATATTTGTTCATCATAGCCAACAGAAACTACTCCAAATGGTAAGCAATAATTAAATACATAATGAATATACTGCACAGATATAAAAATAGGAAGTCTAAGCCAGAAAATGGTAGTACTAACCCAGCGTTACTTGCAACCATGGGATCTGAATGCAATGGATTATAGTCACCAGAAAGGCGATACAGTAAAGCCTGCATTACCGTAAAAACAAGGTTATTTTTAAGGCATGAAGCTAAAATAAAAATTCAAGGTGAAAAACACTTTAATATATATTACAAGAGAGCATATATAGCTCTTAAAGCAAAAATAAACTATTATGAAGAAAGTGATACATATGAAATCATCGGTACCTTGAATTAAATTTGTCATTTAAAATACTAATAAAACATGCTTTATGATTGGAAACTATCTAATGTAACTTGACTAGAATGAGGAGGAGACGCAGTCGTCTCCCTCCCTTTCCACCTCGTCTTCCTCCTTTTCTTCTTCCTTTTCTTGTTTCCAGACGTCCTTCGAACTCGGTCCCCCGCTCGCTCTTCCTCTTCTACACCTACTTCCTCCAGGCATCTCTCTACTTGGTCCCTGGCCTCTCCTTCTTTCTGGAGTACGATTTACGACCTGTACCCTAAACCTCTACGTGTCCCACACAAGGCATCTCTTAAGGGAGTGCAGTCCTTTACCCATGGCTCTCCACAAAGCGGGTTACCGACTACTGATTCTGGGTCCTTTGCGCAAGTAGTCGCACGCTCCTCGCCTCCCCTCCCTTCTGCAGGCTCCCCGACCTGCCCTAAGGGGTCTCCCCCTCCTCTCTGCAGCAAGCCCCTGCTTAGTCCTTTCTTCGTCTCCATCCCACCGATAGAGTCTTCCCTGCTAAAGACTAAGCTCCAGTCATCTTCAGTAGGCACGTTTCGCCCGTCTTGGAATGATTTCAGAGGAGTTGAGATCTGGGCAAATTTTTTTTGGGAGGACTCCAATATCACGGCTCGATGCCTCTCATGTGGAGACTACCTCTTCACCTTTTCGTCACAAGCTCTTGCCTGCCAGGTATTGCAGCATGCCAAATCTGCGATTTTCAAAGGGGCAACCTTGTGCCTTCTTGCTTGGTCCCCCCAGGAAGGATCTTTCAGAAGGCAAAAGGTTTGGCTTACGCTTCACCATGTGCCACTCCATGGCTGGCCTCTTGCAACCTTTGGGAGAATAGCTGAATCTTGTGGAAGTTTGATCTCGATTCGGTGGAAATCTCTGGAAACACTTTCGCTAGGCTCCATCCTGCTCTTGGTAGAGGTCCTGGACCCTAAATGTATTCCACCTTGTGTGTGGATTGAAGTAGATAACCTGTTCTACCCGATTTCTCTGGCTTGGACTGAGGCTTCTCCCCACTCGGATAATAAGGTAGATAGCAATTCGCACTCATTGCTGGTCCTTTTCATGGAGTGTCGTCTCCAAGAAATCTGGCTTAGCCAAGCGGCGCCACTGCCGGACAAGCGGCGCCGCCGGAATCACCATGACCTTTTTCCTGGCAAGAGAGTTTACCGACCAAGTTCTCCGGCCAGTCAACGGTCTTCCCAGTGGATACCGCGTGACACCCCACCATCGCTCTCTGGGGACGATGATGTCAGAGAGTCAGCGCCGAACGCTTGTGTTAGGCACACCCTCTTAGACCCAATCTCAGAAGGCGGTGGGGTTGGTAACAGCTGTCACCTTCCATCGGATCCCCCGGTTTCATTGAACCATCGACCCGGTAAGGAGGTAATAGAGGATCCTGGGCCTTTAGCCTTTTTTAAGGACCCGTCTTCCTTGGTCGGGGCTGAGAATTGGGCCTCGGTAGCTGACCTGATCCATGAGGGGAGGAACTCATTGGACAAAGGTACACCAGCCACCCTGACGCCCGTCCCTGCGGCAGGCGCCTCTTTCCCCGAGTGTCCTAGGCTCTCTTGAGGAGACAACTGCCACCTTTTTGCCGCCTTTCATCGCTTCGGCTGCAGGTGTTGTCCTCTCATATGATGCATCGCTCTCTGCCCAAGAAACCTTCCCGTCTTTCCCTCTGCCACTTGGCCTCCCGAAGCAACACCCCCCTGACGGTCCTCCTAACGCCGTCCTCCCCTCTATCCTTCCCAACCTTGAAGATCCACCCAGGCCTTCTTGTGAACTTTCCCTTTCTTAGTGCTCTCCGTCCATCTCAAGCCAGGAGCTGCTAGCTTCCTTCCCGTCCACTCCTCCATGCAGGTCTTCTCTAGGCCTATCTGAGGATGCTTATACCATAGCCGAGAGAATCGGTTCATCTCACCCTCTTCACCCTGAGTCCCCCTCTATTCTTTCCCAGACATTCTTACCCCTTCCCTTCTTTTGCCACAGTGACCCTTCTCTGTTTGCTTCATCTTTGCTTGTGGAAGTGGACCCTCCTCTTCTTCCTTTCGGCATCATCACGATACACTCCCTCCATCCTTCTCCCCCTGACCTTGCTCACCTCTCAGAGCTTCTTGGACCATGGCTCTCTCAGCCCTCTCTCGTTATTCCTCTTGGCAGGATTACGATGGTTCTCTTCCCTTACGAGATCTCTCCTTCCTCGCCCCTGAACCTTGGTCCCCATCTTTTCCATATCACTATTTATCTTTCTACACCCCTCTTCCTTCTCTGCCTTTAAACCCCTGCCCTTATCCCGTGTCCAACTAGGCCCCTCCCTCTGTCACTGTCTGGACCCCTACCCAGCCCGCAGCTTCATGTGGGCACCCTCTTGGTTCACCACCCACTTTTGCTCCCTCCCAAGTTAACCCTATTTCAATGTCTCCTGTGGTTTTGTCCGCTGTTCTTAGACTAGGGGAACCTGAGCTCTTGCCTTCTATCCTTCTCTCCCCTGTTTCCCCGGGACAATCCTCCTCCTCCTCTGAACCTTCAATGATTGCTCCTGAATCACTATCCCTTGCACCCTCTTCTTCAGGCCCGGACGAAAGCGAGCCAGAGAGAGCTAATGGGATAGATAAGATTCGCAAAGCTGTCAGGATGAAGGAGATCTACAGGGTTATGGGATTTGAACATCTTGGACCCGAAGGCCCGGCACATCGGTTCTTGCAGGCGGACACCCATAGCAGGCTCAAGGTGAATATCAAACGACATCATGAACTGCTTAACCTCTTCTCTTCTATAACTTATGACAATCTCGCTTCTGAAGACCAGCCTCTTCCCACCGCTACCCAAACCCCCCCTACTCTTAGGCGGTCGCCCAGAACTGCCTCCACCCCTGCTTCTCACCATAAATTATGAAGATTCTATCTTGCAATATTAGAGGGTTGGGACAGAAGTCCAAAAGGGATTCGGTGAGAGACTTTTCTACCAAACTCTCCCCATCGATCCTTGCCTTGACAGAGACTAAACAACCGGCGCCTACTTTGCAGTCCATCCGTAGTGGGTGGGGTAGAAGGCCATGTTAATGGGAAACATTACCAGCAACAGGGGCCTCTGGCGGGATTTGGGTTTTTGGAACCCAACTGAGTTTAATCTCCTATTGTCTCACATAGGAGATTTCTCGATCACTGTCCTTCTATCCAAGACAACAGATGGTGCGCTGCTTAAATTTTTCGCCATTTATGGTCCAAACTCAGCTGCCCTTCACCCCCGTCTCTGGTCTGAATTGGATCTTGTCGCAGCCTTAACACATTCTGCATGGTGCCTGGGTGATGATTTCAACATCACCCGTTGGTCTCATGAGAGAAACCGCAACACCAATGTCTCCCAGGGAATGCTGGATTTTTTTGACTTCATCTCTCAACATGAACTAGTAGACATTCCAACTCAAGGGAATGCCTTTTCCTGGCCCTCTCTGGCCAAACTGGATCGTTTCCTTCTGTCACTGGATTGGGAAGTTGCTTTTCCAGATTCACATGCTCTTACCCTGCCTAAACCTACCTCAGACCATCGCCCCATTATTCTTGATACACAAGCTTTTAGTAGGGGGCCTAAACCCTTTCGGTTTGAACTGTCTTGGTTGGAGGAGCAGTCCCTTGTGACTCTCATCCCCAGTTGGTGGAATTCTTTCTCTTCCCAAGTCTCGGGTAGAGAGGGATTCAAGCTACAAACCAAAATCTAGCTGCTCAAAGAGTCCTTGAAAAATTGGAGACAATCTCGGCCATGGAATTACTCACTTAAAAAGCTCTTGGATCAACTGCATCCAAGACCTGGATAAAATTGAGGAAGTCAGACCCCTGTCAGACTCTGAAGAACAGTTAAGAACCCAATCCAAGCTGAAATACCTTGCTACCATCAAGAAAGAAGAGCATTTTTGGTACCAGAGATCCCGGGTTAAATGGTTAAAGGCAGGGGATCAGAACACTGCCTTCTTTCATCGTGTAGCCAACTGTAGAAGGAGAGAGAATCTGATATCCACAATTAAGGTGGATAACAGTTTTCTTACCCAGCCAGTTGAAATCGAAAATGCCATCCTGAATTACTTCATGTCCCTCTATTCTACCCCTGTGGGACTCAGGTCTAGGATGATCACTTTGGATTTCCTTTCGGTTCTAAAGAGTTGGAAAAACCTTTTACAGTTGAGGAAATCTCAAGCGCCATTGATCAACTAGCTAAAGACAAAGCACCGGGGCCATATGGCTTTCCCATGGCGCCATTTAAATCTTTCCTGGGTACTTTCCTACCTGACATCAGAAGTTTCTTTCAAGAATTCTATCATAGGGGGATCCTCAATAAAGCTATCGATGCTACCTTTATAGCCCTTGTCCCCAAGAAAGAAGGTGCTGAAGAGCTTAAGGACTTCCTTCCAATTAGCTTACTCAACTCTTCATACAAAATTCTGGCCAAGGTATTGGCCTCAAGACTCAAGCAGGTCCTTCCTCTCATCATATCGCAGTCCAAGTCAGCTTTCATCCAAGACAGGCTGATCCTGGATGGTGCGTTGGTTGCTCATGAGTGTATCCACTCTAGGAACCTATCTAAGAAACCAGGATTAATTTTCAAAATCGATTGGGAGAAAGCTTATGACCATGTGGACTGGCAGTTACTGGATGGGACTATGGCAAGAATGAACTTTAGCCCTCGATGGAGAAAATGGATAAGAGGCTGTATTTCTCCCCCCCCAATTTTCGGTCCTTATAAATGGTAGCTCTAAAGGCTTCTATGCTGCTTCGAGGGGGCTACATCAAGGGGACCCACTCTCTCCCTTTCTTTTCACCATAGTTTATGA